CCCAGGTCGAGGGTTAGGGTTGTTAGAGCAGCAGCCAGGCATTGACAGAATTTGCGGTGTGTGTGTGTTGTGCTGGGGTTGGGGTGCTTGTAAGATGCTTGGGTGCACAAACATATATAAACTGTCACAAGATGCATTTTTGATCATATTTTTATTCGACCCTTCCTCGGATGAGCTGTGGATGGAAAGCACGTGTCTTTTCTCCCTCGGTATCTTCATAACAACACTATGAGGAAGTCTGAGCTGAAATGTAACTCTGAGAGTTAAAAATTAGAGACATTACCCTGCCAACAAAAGTCCCTATGGTCAAAGCAATGGTATTCCCAGTAGTACTGCATGGCTGCAAGAGTTGGACTATAAGGAAGGCTGAGTGCCGAAGAATAGATGCTTTTGAATATGGTGCTGGAGAAGTCCCCTGGACTGCAAGGAGTTCAAATCAGTCAATCCTAAAAGAAATCGACTCTGACTGTTCCCTGGAAGGCCAGATACTGAAGCTGAAGCTCAGATACTTTGGCCACCAAATGAGAAGAGAGCACTCACTGGAGAAGACCCTGATGCTGGGAAAGATTGAAGGTCAAAGAAGAAGGGGACGGCAAAGATGAGATGGTTAGACAGTGTTATTGAGGCAACAAACATGAAATTAAGCAAACTCCGGAGCACGACAGAAGACAGAAGGGCCTGGATGTACTCCATGGGGTTGCGAAGAGTCGGACTCAACTGTGTGACTGAAGAACAAGCTGAGATGTGGCTAGCCCTAGGTCATCTAGTGGTCTTTCTGGTAGAATGGAATTTGAGCCCAAGTGTTTCATACTAGCCAAACATTCCTACCTCTCTTCTTGTTGAATTGGCATCTGGTATCTGAAGCATTGAGATGCAACTGCTTGTCCATTTCAGCTTGTACACACATACATTTTATAGGAGGAAAGGTTATGTGTGTTTAGTTCACTTTATTTCTGACTGGCAGAAGAGGTTGTACCTTTCTATGTTTTTTCATAAACTGTCATTCACCAAGCTGCTTTTAGTGCCTGGTTGCTATCCTATGTTATCCCTTAATCATGATGCCATCTTGTCTTTAGGCACCTGTACATTTCGGAGTTAAGTTAGTTTAAATCAAGATCAAGTTTAACTGGTTGTGAGTGAGTGTAAGCATGAATTATTTGTGATATGTAGTATAAAGGTGTATTTGTTTTAACCTTCTTAGGATGTTGATATAGAGAGAGTTGCTTTTATAGGTATAATATTGATAAGTTGTGCACTTGGAATGTTAAGACTTCTGGATTATACTTTGTTTTTGAGATCACAAAGATTTTGCTTCCATGGATGCCTGAGCCTTGTATTTGTAAGATTTGTAGAACAATGCTGACAAAACAGTAGAAAGTAGTTGAGATGTGGTTCTTTGTCTGATAGGTTTTGTGTTTTGTGGAGATAACTCTTAGAAAAAAGTGTATACTGTTAAAGGTGCTTAAAAGCTTAATAAAGTACATAACCTTGAGGTGTGTTGTGTTAATATGCCATTACAAGAACCTCACATAGGAATATCCAAGGGGAGAAGCTTGGTTCCTATTATTACATGTACATTTATTTATTTTGGATGTATTTATTTTGCAGAATTCTGAGGATGTCCGTTGTACATGCATCTGTCCTCCTTACAAAGACCATGCTGGCAACATTTTCAACAAAAATATTTCACAGAAAGACTGGTGAGTATATATTCTGATTTATAATTTTACTAAAGGTAATACTCAGGCCCATAGTTATCTTGGGGCAATGCTCCCTCCCTAATCTGCCCTGCTCCCAAATCTTCCCGAATCATTTGAAGGACCAAGCCAAGGGTTGATTCGGTATAAGGTAGCTTTGTGTGTTCCCCTGGGCCAATCCATACATCTCCTTTTCCTTACCTCGGCTACTTTGCGCTTGCAGGCTCTGCGCAAGTGCCGTTGAACCTGCCTTGAGGGGGCGCCTTCCTCACTATTATGGAAGCACTCTACTACAGCACGCGTGGACCAAGGAGAGGGGCGTTTGCAAATGGGCACAGTGCTGGGATTGACGCATCCTGCTTTCTGTCAGGGTTGGTCTTTGCAGCAGCTTCTCTTGGGCACTGTGAGGGAGTGGTTTGGCAGCACTGTCCCCCAGAAGGTTGGTTGTGAAGGAGGGACGGGGGTTTAGCAAGACTTTGAGCCTTGGGTCAAGGACTGGTGCCTAGAAGGGGGATAGTGACCAACTTTGTTGGTCTTAAAGGTGCCACTGGACTCAAACTTTGTTCTACTCTAAGGAATTAATGGAGACTTCTAAGCATAGAGACGGAAGGGAGAGACTGCAAAGGCTGCAAGCACCAGGCTCAGCCCGTTGGAGGAGAGGGAGGGGGCAGTGGGAGAGAGGGAGGTGGATACCTACAAACAGGAGGTGGAGGGACCAGCTGAGGGCTTGGACCAGAGCAGCAACAGCTGGTGCGAGGCAAACAAACGAAGCTGGGCTGCAAGTGGGGAGCTCCGCTTTGCAGGAGGGTTTCACCCAACCCTCCATGTGCCTACGTCAGTTCCGGAAGTGACGTAGTCATGTTGGGGCACATGCCCCCCCCCCACTGAAAAGTGTCTAGCTATGGGGCTGATAGTACTGGTGCTTTATTAATTTATTCATCAAATTTATTCTTCTGGATGGTAGAAACTAATGGGGAAGTTGTTCCTTAATATAAAAATAGGAGTTGGAGCAGATGCAGCTGTGAATTTCAGATTGCTATCCAGTCTGATAGTTGAAGGCAGTTCGAAAGCAAGAAATTGCAAGTAGATAAATAGGTACCACTTCGGTGGGAAGGTAACAGCGTTCCGTGCGCCTTGGTGTTTAGTCATGCCGGCCACATGACCACGGAAACTTCTTCGGACAGCGCTGCCTCTTCGGCTTTGAAACGGAGATGAGCACCGCAACCCTAGAGTCGGATTCGACTGGCTTTCGAGCAAGGGAACCTTTACCTTTTTAGTTGAAGGAAAACACACCATGTAAGAAAGAAAATAAAGCTGTTCACACACACACCCCCTAAGTATTTCCATTTAGGAGGTCTCAGTCTGTTTACTGTAACTGGGCAAAGTTCACATATCAATATTCTGGCTGACCTATTGGGTGATGCACCAGAAGTTCCAGCTCGTGCAAAATGCTGCATCTCCTCTATTTTGGGCTAGCTTCTGGGAACCTGTCACTCCTGTTCTGAAGTCTCTTTACTGTTTGCTGATTAGTTTATGGATCCAGTTCAAATCTCTCCCGGCATGTTTCTGTGCATCAGCTCTGCTCTTCCCATCAGTCTGTTATCAGTACTGCTATTATCTAAGGCATGTTCTGCAGTGGTCTAGGCGAAACCTTTTACAGTGACTGCCCCTTGCCTCTGGAATCGTCTCCTGGAAGAGTTCAGTGGGGTTCCTAGGGCTCCTACCTTCCTGGCAACGTTGGAAATAGTGCTGTTTGAAAGAGCTTTGGGGGTGTAAGTTGTTTTTAGTGTGGTTTTAATATGCCGTGTGTTTGTAAAAGCAATAAAACATTGTTGTGACCTGACTTGAGTCCTGGGGCACCTGGAAGAAACAAAAAGAAAGATATTGCTAGTATATGTTCATCAAATTCTCAAATGTCCGAATTTATATTTCATTTTTCAGATAACATCAAAAGACTCAACAAGACCAAAGTCTTCAAGAGAGAAGAAGGACGGACCTTCCCGGGCTTTCTGTAGTCCGTTTCGAACAATATCTTTTTCAGACGTCCTATAGAACAATAAATGCAGGGGGTAACAACTTCATGGAAACAATTCCTCAATATGCTAATTTAACAATAAAGATGAATAATTTATACATACAATTCATGTTGTTTGTAGTGTTTTTACAATTCCAATCTTGGCTGTATACGTGATGTTTACAAAAGTTCTATAAATATAAATACACAAAATCCTTTTTAGGCTTTTACATTAATACATATTGTTTTATAAAAGTCATAACAGTAAAAATATTTATATTCTAGGTACATAAATATGGTGGACTCATCCTGAATGGAGATCTTCAGAAAGTAGAGTTATGAGCAGCCACTTTTGGTGAGTCCACCATATTTATGTACCTAGAATATAAATATTTTTACTGTTATGACTTTTATAAAACAATATGTATTAATGTAAAAGCCTAAAAAGGATTTTGTGTATTTATATTTATAGAACTTTTGTAAACATCACGTATACAGCCAAGATTGGAATTGTAAAAACACTACAAACAACATGAATTGTATGTATAAATTATTCATCTTTATTGTTAAATTAGCATATTGAGAAATTGCTTCCATGAAGTTGTTACCCCCTGCATTTATTGTTCTATAGGACGTCTGAAAAAGATATTGTTCGAAACGGACTACAGAAAGCCCGGGAAGGTCCGTCCTTCTTCTCTCTTGAAGACTTTGGTCTTGTTGAGTCTTTTGATGTATCTGAAAAATGAAATATAAATTCGGACATTTGAGAATTTGATGAACATATACTAGCAATATCTTTCTTTTTGTGTCTTGTGCTACCTATATTGCTTGATCCTTTGTAGTTTTTTGCACCTGGAAGAAAGGCAGATATATAAATCTTTTAAATAAATATTGCAGGGCAGGCTGACATGTTAGCCAACTTTTGTATGTACGAATTTGGAAAACTGTCTTTCAAAGTGCCGTGCAAATCTGCCTTGGGAGAAGTACTCAGGGTTTATCTCAAAGTCTGTTCTTTCCAGTACCTATGTTGACTGGAGTTGAGTACTGAACCAGTTGTGGCCCTTTTTGCTCTCCAACATTGTGGTGAGTTTGCACTAGTATAGTGACGGGAAGCTTTTGTGTGTGGCTGTTTGCTCCTCGTACTTACTTAGTAATACCTATCATATGGTTGCTCGTTTAGATATGTTGGCCTGAAGAAGGGTTTTAATTTATTCAGCTTCATCAGATATGTTTCATTTAGAAATCCAAGTATCCTGACTCTAGCATCCTGTCTCTAGATCCATCAGAATGGTTAGGTGCCCAGAGGTGTTAGTTTAGAAGGTCTTCAGAAGTTGGCAACACTTGTACTGTGTGTGTGTGTTAAATGCTGTCAAGTCGCTTCTGACTTATGGTGATCCTATGAATTAATGGTCTCCAAAATTGAGCTGCGGTGGCTCAAGTGGTTAAGACGCTGAACTGCAGGCTGTGGAAGGTTGGTAGTTCAGCAGTTCAAGACCCAAGTGTGCCGCATGACGGAGTGAGCTCCCGTCTCTAGTTCCAGCTCCTGCCAACCTAGCAGTTCGAAAGCAAGAAATTGCAAGTAGATAAATAGGTACCACTTCGGTGGGAAGGTAACAGTGTTCCGTGCGCCTTGTTGTTTAGTCATGCCGGCCACATGACCACGGAAACGTCTTCGGACAGCGCTGCCTCTTCGGCTTTGAAACGGAGATGAGCACCGCAACCCTAGAGTCGGATTCGATTGGCTTTCGAGCAAGGGAACCTTTACCTTTACTAAAATGTTCTAACATTAACAACCTTGCTCAGGTCTTGCAAACTGAGGGCTGTGGCTTCCTCTATTGAGTCAATCCATCTCACATTGGGGCCTCCTCTTTCCTGCTGGCCTTCAACTTTCCCCAGCATTGTCATTTGTAGTGTCTTGTCTTCTCATAATGTGACCAAAGTACGATAGCCTTAGTTTAGTCATTTTCGTTTCACTGGAAAGTTTGGGCTTGATTTGATCTAGAACCCACTTGTTTGTCTTGCTGTTGGTCCATGGTATCAATAAAACTCTCCTCCCAACACCATATTTCATATGAATCAACTTTCTTCCTGTCAGCTTTCTTCATTGTCCAACTTTTACACCCATGTATAGTAATAGGAGCTGCGGTGGCTCAAGTGGTTAAGACGCTGAACTGCAGGCTGTGGAAGGTCGGTAGTTCAGCAGTTCGAGACCCAAGTGTGCCGCATGACGGAGTGAGCTCCCGTCTCTAGTTCCAGCTCCTGCCAACCTAGCAGTTCGAAAGCAAGAAATTGCAAGTAGATAAATAGGTACCACTTCGGTGGGAAGGTAACAGCGTTCCGTGCACCTTGGTGTTTAGTCATGCCGGCCACATGACCACGGAAACGTCTTCGGACAGTGCTGGCTCTTCGGCTTTGAAACGGAGATGAGCATCGCAACCCTAGAGTTGGACTCGACTGGCTTTTGAGCAAGGGAACCTTTACCTTTACTATAGTAATAGGAATATTGTCATATGAATTATCTTGATCTTGGTCGACAGCAACACATCCTTACACTTAGGAATCTTTTATAGTTGCTTCATGGCTGTCCTTTCCACTCTCAATCTCCTTATGATTTCCTGGTCTTATTCTCCCTTTTGGTTGGTGATGGAGCCAAGGAATAGAAAATTTCAGTTTCTTCATCACTAGCCTTAAAGTTCTGTAATTCCCCAGTAATTTTGTCGTCTTGATGTTCATCTTGAATGCTGCTTTGGCACTTTCTGCTTTAACTTTCATCGATAGTTGTTTCAAGTCTGACACCTTTGCCAGTTGGAAACCATTCTTTTTTTCCATATTCTGTCTTAACAGTAGTCTCTTGTCAAGAGTCCAGGTTGTACATCAAAACAATCAGATTTTGTGGCACACCTATTTCCTTTAAAACCAGCCATAAGTTTTCATGATCCATGCAGTCAAAAGCTGTGTTGTAATCTATGAAACACAAGCTGATTTTCTTCTGAAATTCTCTTGTATGCTCCAGTAACCACCAATATGATCTCTATTGCTTTTTCCTTTTCTGAATCCAGTTTGACCATATGGCATTTCTTGTTCCATATATAGTAACAGTCTTTGTAAGACTTTAAGCATCACTTTACTTGCATGAGAAACTACTGTGATGGTGCAATAGTTGCTGCATTCTTTGACATCTTTTTTCAGAATTGGAACATAGAGTGAGCATTTCTAGTCTGTGGGCCATTGCTTTCCATATTTGGTGGCATATTCTTGTTAAGATTTTGATTAACTCTGTTTCTGTGGCCTGGAATAACTCTACTGATTACTCCTGGTGATTTGTTTCTCCCAATTGCTTTGAGGGTAGTTTTCACTTCACTTTCTAAAACCAATAAGCTGTTCTTCAAAAGATCTTTCTTGGAAGGAATCTGACATCCTTTCATTTATATTCTACACTGAATCTAGTGCACTATTGTGAAGTGTAATAATTAAGTCTTTTCCAGTGAATGAGGAACGTGTTAATATAGTCCTAGTGGGAGACCTAATTAAATTTCAGAAAGGTTGGTAAGAACAGCTAAGGACAGAACATACCTGTTCTTGTTGCGTAGAAACTCTTCATATGAGAGAGATTAATTGTATTCTGTTTAAGAGGTCAAATTGGTTCTTAAAAGTGGGAAATATTGATAAAACCCCTACAGCCCTTCGGTCTTCTACATCCCTTCAGTGTACAACTTTATACTCAGTGTATTTCCCAGCCTCACCTTGATGAAATCAGTTGTCCTATGGTGGTTCATGCTCTCTTCACTTGTAACTGTTTGAGAATTGCAGTGTGGAAACTGAAGGTATTGCAGTCACTTTTAGCCTATCCTTATTAAAAGGAACTCCTGCCAACCTAGCAGTTCGAAGGCAAGAAATTGCAAGTAGATAAATAGGTACCACTTCAGTGGGAAGGTATCAGCGTTCCGTGCGCCTTGGTGTTTAGTCATGCCGGCCACGTGACCACGGAAACGTCTTTGGACAGCGCTGGCTCTTCGGCTTTGAAACGGAGATGAGCACCGAGCAAGTAGAGTCGGACTCGACTGGCTTTCGAGCAAGGGAACCTTTACCTTTATTAAAAGGAAAACTAAGTTTGGTGTATAGGATGAAATTGACAAATACTCATTTTTTCTTTTGTTCCTGTGTGTGCTTCTGTTCTGGTCCTGTATTACAAAGAAATACATAATGAAGATTTAAAAAAATCTTTCTTTGCAGCTGGTGGTGTGTTGAGTGAAACCCTTAAGTTTTTTGCTCTGTGTGACTGGCTTACTGCTTGATCTGATGTCCGCCCGCCCTCCCAATCAGTAAAATACTTTTTTTTTGTTCTGCTAGGGCTACTCAGCAACTAAAATCCATTTTTTGTGTGTGTGCGTGCATGTGCATATATGTGAACTAATACTCTAGGACAATTCTTGTCCCTGTGCAAGTCCTTTTAAATTTTGTCTAATTAAATACTGGCCTTTTTGTATAGAATTAAAAATGGCTTTCATACATTATAGATGGCAAACGCATGATAATTCTATAAAAAGAGTTTTCTGGGATTGCATATGGTAAGAGAACTGTGACTACACGAAGTAGGAGGAAGACAGATGATAACTGAAACAGTCACTCCTACCTGTCTGTTATCATTTGCCTGTTGAAAATGTTCCTCCTTTGCCACCTCCTTCAGATTTCACAGTTTTTGCAATTAAAATTTCCAGGTCTTATAACTTTTTTTTTTTCTTTGCTCATTTGGAGTATTGCATCCTATGCCCTAAAACTTTTAATAGCATATTGTAGTAAGCGCAGCATTACTGAAAGAAGGAAGTAATTCATGGCATCTTTTAATGTGGTGTAGAAAAGGAGCTGCTTGATGAGAGAGATGGGTTGTTGCTGTAGCCGGGGTGCTTGTGTGACACAGACCCTCTGGTTGACGTCTCTGCTTCCAGGCACCATAGCTGCTGCCTTCCACTGAATTGGGTTGGTAATGAGCAAATTGAGGCTTAAGTTTGGGGCTGCCTTTGTTGGGACCAGATGAGGCTCAGAGGTAGGGCTGCCAAGTCTCTATCTCGCCGCAGAGTTTTCCCTCGGATGACCGTGGCCCCGCCCCCAGTGTGCCCGGCATGGTCGCGTAACTTCCGGGTGACGTGCACGTCGGGGTGGTGTTCCCCCGGGGCCCGGTCCGCCAGCGGTGGGGAACGGGCCTCTGGGGCGGGGGTTTCCCCGCCCCCCGGTGGGACTTGACAAGCCTACTTAGAGGCATTATCCAGAGAGTTCCAGTGCTGGCATTTGTATTAAAACCTGCATTTATCGGTAGCCAATTAGTCACTAAGTGGCTGTTTTAGTGCAGCCAATTAAATATTTAAAGTAGATTACTAGGTAGGTGAAAGGTCAAGTATTTCAAGTTTCAGAAATATGAACATTTGATTAGTCCTTTGTTCATTCAGCATGCATTCTTATTGGTGAATACTTCTCCTTAGTGATATAAAATTACCTAAGCTTACACTCTTTTCCTGTGTCCCCAGTGATTGTCTTCATGTTGTTGAGCCTATGCCAGTTGCTGGGCCAGACGTGGAAGCATATTGCTTACGCTGTGAATGCAAATATGAAGAAAGAAGCTCCGTCACAATTAAGGTAAAAATGTTACTTAACTATTCTTTTTTTTAAAATGAGTCAATTAATAGAATGTGCCTGGTTACATTTTCATTATGTTCTATGTTTAATATGTTAACTAGAGTCATCTTCTTGCATCAGTAAATACCAGTTCTCATGGGTATATCCTCTCTCAATAAGGAATATATGGTCACCTCTCAAGAATTATTTAAAACATTTTGTTTGTTTGTTTGTTTTTTTAAACCATTTCTGTTTATTTAAAACATTTCTATGCTGCCTTTCCACGCAATTAGAGTCCCTGACATGAAAAGCGTTAAAATATTTCAAGACTAAAACATTTGCGATATTAAAGCAATGTTCAAAATAAAGCATATATAAACTTTAGCATGTTTTATGCTAATTTTGGCACATAGTGCCGTCAATTGTGGGCCGCCCTGAGCCCGTTTGCGGGGAGGGCGGGATATAAATCCAATAAATAAATAATAAATTCAGTAAAAAATATAAATGCAAATAGGAATACAAGCAGCAAGGAAGGCCAGTAATGGATTATTGAGGGAATGCCAAGCAAAACAAAGAGGTCTTCATTGGCGGGCATAAGAACAGTGATAGACAGAAACAGACGGGTCTCCCTGGGGGAGGGAGTTTGAAAGTTTCAGTGCCACTAACAAGAAGGCCCTTTCTTGGGTAGTCTAGGCTCTGATGGCAGGGCCACCCAAAGCAAATCCTCTGAAGATGACTGCAGTGGATGGGTGGGTTCATATAGGCGTAAGCAGCCCTTCAGGTATGCTGGCCCCAAGCCTTTCAGCAGCGCTTAAAACCTTCAATGAGAAAGTGGGAACTCAGAAAAACAGGGCAACCTCCCCCCCAAAAACACACACACACACACACACACACACACACAAACTTGTATTTTAGATTTTCTACAGCTCCATATTGCTCAACCTTAATGAAGTCATTCCCCTGTCCCTGTATTAGGTAGGTCTTGTTTTTTAAAATGTACTGTTGGGGTCACTTTTCCCCCTTTCCCCCCCAGTTTAATTGAAAGGGGGGGTGGCAGCAGGTGGTATGCTCTGTGCATTTCTCTTTAAAAAAAAACCTAAATAAAATTAATATGTTTTTAAATGCAGTTTGGCTAAATAGGCATGCTGACCTGTTCCTCCTGTTTGGGTATGTTTTCAGGTCAAGCAAGTAGCCAGTTGGGGAACCTTTGCTCTGTTGCTAGGTCTGCCCCTCACCTTAGCTCTGCAGCACATGCTAGCAGGCCTCACTCTTAGTCTTGCTAACAAATTATGCCATAATGAATGTCACATAGTAACACCGTTAGCTTCATACAATACGTACTGGTAGCTTCATACACACTTTTAGCTTCATACAATAGCTTCATACAATACACACAGCTGATAGACTGTGAATTCACTTGTATTTATTTATTATTTACATTTTTATCCCGCCCTCCCAGCTGTATAGCTTGGTAATAGTTGGTTTTAATTTGTAGTCATAAATATTATATGTGTCTGATATGAAAGACTATATTGAGTTGTTTTAAAAGTTGAGAATACCAAGAGTATCTTGCTGCTGCCATGTTGTTTTACAAACCAGCATAATTAAGTTTTTGCTGGTCCAGCCGCTGAGTTGGAATTGGGACTCAGTGTCATATTTGTTAATTTATTTATCTGTAATGCTTGATTGTCAACTGAAATAAATGTCAGTGGACCATCATATGTTTTGTCGGTGCATGCAATGGGGGGGGGAGACACACACTTTGGTTCTATGATAGCTTCTAGTCTCGACATTAATTTACACAATAACCTGAGATAAATCCAGAAGGTCAGTGAAAGTGCTAATAAAGATGCTTATGTAATAAGACAGCTGAAAACGAAGAGTTCTAAAATCTGATAAAACTTCCAATCTCCTAAATTTGGGTTCAAGTCATGAATTACTTCATATGTTACTGTGCTGAAGGCGTGCAGTGAAGGCTTAATTAGAATACCTTTGTATTGTGTTGAAACTGGATTTTTGGGGGTGTGTATGTGTACAGTTGTGTGTGTTCGAATGAATGCCATTATTCATGCCTCGGTTGTGGTATGTGCTTTGCTGTTACAGGGTGTTTCAGTCTCCTGATCTACTTTTTTAACACAGCTGTCCCTAATTCCATTTAATTTTATTTGTGCTGTTTCTTGGGGTTAGTTAAACGATATTTTACTTTGGTGTAGTTCCACTAGGGCTGCGCCAGTTTAAGCAGTAGTTAAATTCTCACTGGGTCCACATCACACATTCCACTACAAGCTGGACTTGTAAAATGTCATCTGTATGTGTGGACAGACTACAGTTCACAAACATATTTTGCAAGTGTGTGTGTTTCACAAAGAAGTTAGGATTGTCTGCAGCTTCCTGATTGGACGCTTGAGGGCAAACATGGGTTTGCTTGCTGCATAATATATGATGCAGCCCTTACCTGTCTGGGAAATCTACATTAACACCTGTCCTAGAACATGTTTTCTCCATGTACTCAGGGCCAAGCTACATGAGATGTTTTTCAGCAAGTCAGGTCCAGGGACTAGCATTTCCCGCAACTGCTGTGTGTCTGCAGCGAAAACTAGTCCTTGGACCCAACTCGCCAAAAAACATCTCCTGTAGTTTGGTTCTCAGATTTGTTGCATTCAGTGTTTTATCTAGTAGCTATTTCTTCTAGCACTGGCTGCTATTTAATGTCTTTGAGGACATAAGGCTCATTAAATATGGATTTCTGCCACAATAAGATTCCTGGATGAGCCAGCAAAAGAATTAAAGCATCACTGAAGAAAAAGTAGTTTTGATCCTCTTGTTCAATCTTCAGGAAAGCATGATGTTTGTTTATCTTCCATTACGCATGCTAAATATGTAAGTATCTTAGAAACTGTACTGATGAAGGGAGTTTGTTTTAGACAATCACACATTGGCTGTATGGCCAGGTGGGCATGAGAAGGGTACTTGCCTTGATGCTTGGCAGCACTGAATAGCACAGGGGGATGTTGGTGGTGGCACCTCTCAGCACAGTTCTGTGCGGAAAGAAAACAAAAACCCCTCTTGCTTCTTAGGTACAGTTCTTTGTACATGCTCTGTTCTTTAAATTTGGATTTGTTGATGGGAATGGAATGCCTAAAGCTGACCAGGCTACATTTCTTCTAGTGAACGGCTTCTCAATTGGCATGAACTGAAATGCTGTCTGTCTTTGTGTAGGTTACCATCATAATATATTTGTCCATCTTGGGTCTCCTTTTGCTGTACATGGTATATCTTACATTGGTAGAACCTATTCTGAAGAGACGGCTATTTGGTCATTCACAGCTAATACAAAGTGATGAAGACGTTGGGGTAAGGTCTTTCTATGATACGTGCTTTTATTAATTCATGCTTTTTGGTGTTTTTTGGTGTTTGATGCCTAGGAAGTTAAGCGCTTAATTATACATATAGTTATGGCAGCAAGAATTCTTTATGCTAAGTACTGGAAGAAATCAGCGATACCAACGGAAAATGAACTTTTGACAAAAAAAAATTGAAACCGCAGAAATGGATATATTGTCAGACTTGTTAAAAGACCAAAGTAAACAAAAAGCGAGAGATAATTGAATACCATTTTATGACTGGGTGGAAAGAAACTTCGAAGACCACGAACAATGAATACAACTATTGTAAACTTGGAGAAACACTAACTTGAACTGTACGAACCTGACTTTTTTCAGGAATCATTATAGAAGATTTTAGCAATCTGATTAAGCATCACTAACTCTAGTAAATATATAAACGTAAAAGACCTGGAAACAAAGAATTAAGATGGAAAATTTGTAACAGCTGTTATATACACTTGATGGAACTTCCCTTTATGTCTTATCCCATCCCTTGTCCCCATCCTGCCCTATTATGTGTTAAAAAAACCAAATAAAAATTTATGGGGGGGGGTACAGCCCTGCACAGGGCTTTAGACAAGGGGCTATGGCTACTGAGCAATTTTAATGGGACGCTTACATAACCTTTGTGTCTTAGGGCTCTGAAGGGTTCTTTACATGTGACAGCAACTCGAACATTTGAGTACAGTAAGATTATTCAGTGCATATTGCGTGACTGTGTAAAGAAAATTCCAATGCAGTGTATTGGAAGGGCATTTTAACTTCTGAGATGCCGGTTCCCTTGAGGTGTAGAGACTGCCTGTCTGAAGTCAGTGGGGGAAGGCGTTAAAAAAAACACTTGCCAGTGCGGTGACTCAAATTCTGTATGAAGGCAAGCAAGCTGAATGGTGACATTAATACATCAAACAGGTGAATTTGCACAGATCGACTTACTTTTCTACCTATTCTGTAGTCTTCACAGCTTTAAAACATGCATTCACTCCAAAAGTGGAGAAATTAAAAATGCTGAATTTTGCACCCGCTGCCTAATATTGCACATGGATGATACAGTCTTAGAATCAGTGGGTGTGTTCAGACGCGCCATTTGATCTGATGTCGTGACTGTTCAACGACGGATTTTATATGCATGATAACACAGTCAACATCTACCTCCCATCCCCAACCGTTGGTTTCTGGCTTAAAACCCCCTTTAACCCGGAGTATTTTGTTACCAGGCCCCAAGTGGTGTTTTCTCAGTTCTCCTGTTTGAAGCCGCATTTTTCCCCTGTGTGATCGCTCCTCCGGTGTCAAGCCACTTCCAGTGGTTTAAACCCCCTACCTGCTCGAAAGCTGCTGTGGAAGCCTGAGGCTTCTGCTTTTCGCCCACCATTTTTTTGAGCGTCGGCTGTGGGCACATAGGTGGAGTTCCGCGTCCGCGTTTATAAAACCGATGTTTAAATGGTCACTCATTTTAGCGTTTAGATGAGTTCGGGATCTCACGGAGGCCACTTTTGGGTCAAAAGTTTAAAGGAAAGTCTTTTGTTGGAGGGGTTGGATTGATTCGCCCTGGTGGTTCTGCGCATGCGCCATGATAGTTTTCCCCATTCTACGGATGAGCGCCTATGCGCATGCGCAAATTGAAATTTTTTCAAAAAACCGCAGACATACACTCCTGCGTGTCGGTAGTGTAGACGCCGAGGAGCAATGTGACTGTGCAGTGAGGCGGAGGTAGGTGTGATCACGATTATCCAGATCAAAAATAATCACGTCAGAACCGGACCAGTTTAAACTGCTCTCAGCACACCATCTGAACGCACCCAGTGTGTCCCTTCCATACCTACCAATTTGACCTGCACTATGTGTGTAAAGGAGCTGAGTGAATGGCCTGAAATATTGAAGCCTAACATCCTAGGCCTAAATAGGCACATTCCTGTGTCAGTATTACTTTATGACCTTGTGTCATTGTAGAGGTTAATGTACTTCATCCTATTTACTTACTGTAGCAACATAATGTCATTCAGGCCACTGTTAAATAGAATGGTTATTTTTAATGTTCTAAATGCAAAAGGAGAGCAAATATGCAATTAAAAATTCTTCAAGTAGTCTAAGGCCATGAGAATGTCTGTGAAAGTGCAGGTGTGCTGTTGCTCAGGGCTTGTTCCATGAGGTTTGTGGAGGTCACATTCTTGGTGGACTTTGCTAGCTGCTGCGGCTTGATTTCTTTAGTCATGATGTCAAATTTCCTGTGTTTTGTTTTTAATGTTCTTCTTAATACTATTATAGCCGAAAGTGCTAAGTAATTTTGACATGTTAGCACATTAAACAGTTCACCGTGTGGATATTTAATCCTCAGTGTTTATCACACACACGACCTTCTCTAAGTCAACTGTTAGCTCATCATTTACAGTGTCCAAACATCTTTGAATCTGTACAATAGGCTGGATATCAACTGTCAATATTTATGGATTGCACCCTTCACTAGCTTGCTTTGAAACAGGATGGCATGAATGATTATAACAAACACGATTGTCATTAGACCTTGTCACCTAAACAGCTGTATTTTTGCTTTTTATTTTAAGGTATTGGTATAAGAGCTTTAGGTATTGAGTGTAAACACGTGTGTTGGTATTTGCTGTCTTTGAGTGAGTACTTGAAACAGCTTCACAAAAGGTGTTGACGCTGAGGCTTCGGTACAGAGCTGCAGTGTAAGCAGTCTGGTGTTCAGGACTGTCATGCCAAATGAGGGAAAACCTACTATTGTTTGGTAGACCAGCATCAAGTGAGCTGCTGTTCTTGCCTTGGAAAGTTATATGACTGGCATTAAGAAACTAATGAGTAACCTTGACTTTTTCTATGTTCAGTAGTTAGATCAGAAGATTTGGTTTTATAATTTGGATAGTTATAGTCTCTGCTGGTTGTTGGAGAGCACTGTGGTTGACACCACCGATGAAGGGGGGCCACGCAGGGGTCAGGGATACCAGTGATTATGGGGCAGGGGAGATATGGCGGTGGGCGTAGGTGCTCTTCCATTAATGGGAATGGAAGGAGTCAGAGATATGGAAATGCTCGGACGTCTTCCCACCTACGTCCCATCCCAAGAGATGTTGGTTGTGGGGCTAGGAAAATTTACCCTTCTCCGACACTGGTGTTATTCAGTGCCAGGTCTATTAATAATAAGACTGATATGCTCCGTGATTATCTCATGGAGTCACAGGTAGACCTGGCTTGTGTGACCAAGACTTGGGTGAAGGATGGTGAAACCGTCGCCTTGAACCAGCTTGCCCCACCTGGGTTCTCGGTCTTTCATCAGTCACGGACGAATGGGCAGGGGGGAGGTGTGGCTCTGCTTAGCTGTGAATTTTGTTCTTTCAGGTTGCTCCCCGCCTCAACAATCTCCGGCATTGAATATGTTGGTCTCGCGCGTGATGTTGAGGAGAGTTTGGCTATCTGGCTGGTGTACTGACTGCCTAACGCACCAGCAGATACCCTCTCTGACCTGCTAGATGCTTTATCAGGCTGGGCACTGAAATATCCCAGGCTTCTGATCCCGGGTGACTTCAGTGTCCATGCGGATGATGCAGTGTCTGTCCAGGCCAGGGACCTAGTATTGTCCATGGAGACACTGGGATTCTCCCAGTTTATATCGACTCCCACGCAGCAAGTCACATTCCACTAATGGGAATGGTTTCCATGAGCAGGATTCCAACCAATGTCTGTCTCTACTGTGAAAAGTGTTGCGTTCAGCATTAACATTACCAGCATAATAATTTCTGCCCTTCAATTGCAGGATCACCAGCCGTTCGCAAATGCTCATGATGTGCTGGCTCGTTCCCGAAGTCGTGCCAATGTGCTGAACAAAGTGGAGTATGCCCAGCAACGCTGGAAACGCCAAGTCCAAGAACAGCGCAAATCTGTGTTTGACCGCCACGTTGTACTCAGTTAACTGAGCATAATTTTCTCCCAATTAATGCTGGAAGAAAAGAAGTTGGACTAAATTATAGCACTGATTTGTCTTCCTGATACACGGTTTCAGAATATTTTTTTGCTCAGTGATAGCAAAGAATAGTTGCAGACATGGCAGACACAGCCAATGGGAGATATTTAAATCTTTAACAAGCCAAAATCTAACTCTGTATGCTGTTCAGTGGCTCTTACCAATAAAATATAAGTAATGATCTGTGTGGTAATCATGCTGTTGAGATGATTAATTACAATACTTATGGGGAAAATTCACTAATGTACGTGGAGAAACTGCAAGAGACAGTGTGCAGCGACATATATGTTACAAAATAACTTTACATACTGTTGAACTTTTGTAAATATATTTTCCTACTGTCTGTGTATTGAAAACACACATCTTAAGGTATAGTTCTTGCATTCAAATTGGCTGGTTTTGTGTAAATTGTGTTGCTTGCACTGTCAGCTGACTTCTGCAAATGTGAAGAGTAGCATACATGGACAGATGGTAAGCTCGAGGCTTAAAGCAGGAAACTAAAATTATCATGCTGTGCACACTTAGTGAGAATATTGGTCTCCTGTTTTGCCTATTAAGCATTTTCTCTTGTTATCTACAAATCTTGATTATATGTTTGAATTTTGGTCTTCGGTGGGTAACCTTAAAAATTTAGCTTGATAATGGAATGCAAATAAATTCTTTTCACGCTGTGGGAGTGGGCTGCATTTCTGAAATAGCAGTTGTGATTTCAAAGGTGTACAATTGCTGGATAACTTTTATATCTGTTCTAGAGTATAGCAGTTAACTAATTTGAAGGATTTTTCAACAAAATCAGTGTGTTGTCCCTTTGAGCCATTTAGCTTGATAATGGAATGCAAATAAATTCCTAAGAAACTTTTCACGCTGTGGGAGTGGGCTGCATTTCTGAAATAGCAGTTGTGATTTCAAAGGTGTACAATTGCTGGATAACTTTTATATCTGTTCTAGAGTATAGCAGTTAACTAATTTGAAGGATTTTTCAACAAAATCAGTGTGTTGTCCCTTTGAGCCATTTAACTTTGAGCCATTTGGTGTTCTTCAGGGATCCAAAGCTGTCAAAAGAAGGAACAGCTGGTTTACAGGCTTCAGGACATTTGTATTTCGGAGATGTGATCTTAACCACATCGAATCCTGTTGAAATCAATGGGACTTCCAAGATAACGTAGTTACAGTTAAGGTGTCAAGCCTCGGTACGACTTTGCATATTCAGGACCAGAAATCTGTCATGTAGTGTTGCTACTTGCTATGAACCAAAAGCCACATGCTGGAGTAGCTTCATTCCCTTCATTATAATTTGTGTTATAATTACTAAATTTGGTGAGTGTTTGCTTTCCTATCTTTAGGGGTAGGTTAGTACGCAATGTAGTCCCTTGCAATCATCCTTTATAAATGTGCAGGGAACAACATTTATAACAACACTGTGTAAATATATAAAACCAGGGGTCATTTGGGGGGGGACGCGGGGGGACGCCATCCCCCTGGGTGAGGTGCGGGAGGGCGGGGCCTGGAGCTCCCTGCTGGTGCCCGCTGGAGGTCACCGCCGGCTGTGGGGAGGACACACTTCCGGTGATGTCAGGGGGTGTGGCATATGCTAATGAGTTATGCTAATGAGTCCCCCTAGCTCTTTTTCTACGAAATGACCCCTGTATAAAACAATCCCTGTATTGCTTCTGACTTCCATTAGAACAGCATCTCAATAATCTATCCACTTTTGCCTTGATTTTTTAAATAATAAATGGTGGAACACAACGTGAACTGTGAAGAAACGGGTTGCTTTGCAGACTTAAATGTTTTGTCGGACGGTATTAAAAATTCTCGGTTGTCTTAACGTGTGGAATATTTTTTTAAAAAATAGTTTCCCACCACTCCTTTGTATAGACTTCAGTTATTCCATCTTGCCCTGTATGTTATGGTTGCGCACTCTGTTCATGCAGAAAATGGATGGGAAGGGAATGACTGGAGCCTGGGACCACTGAAGGAAGTGAATGGCAAGAATCACCACTAGTGGACGGCTGAAGCAGACCGGGGCCAGCACAAACCTGTGATGTGGGCTCCCCACATAGAAGTGATCCCATACAATCACATGAATCATACAGGAAACGTTTCTATTTATTTTGGAGCTGTGTGGTGAGGGGAGGAGAGATAAATTATGGAAATTTCCCCAAACATACTTACCACAGCCCATGAACACAAATAAGAAGATAAGAACATAAGAGACGCCAATGTTGGATCAGGCGAAAGGCCCATCCAGTCCAACACTCTGTGTCACACAGTGGCCAGAAATACCAGGTGCCATCAGGAGGTCCACCAGTGGGGTCAGGACATTAGAAGCCCTCCCACTGTTGATCCCCCCCCCCCAAGCACCAAGATGACAGAGCATCACTTGCCCCAGAGCCCCTATCTATACCTTGCGGCTAATAGCCACTGATGGACCTCTGCTCCATATGCTTATCTTATCTGTGTCTCTCGGATTCTTAAAGCACTTAAGCTGGAGTTGAGCTAATTTCTTGTGAGCAAACACCATTCCACGTCCCATGCACAGGTGTGTATACCATATGATATACCCAGTAGTGTATACCCATCAACATGGTGCGGCCTTAAGTGCCCACCCCAGTTTAGTGATTCAGGAGTCATTGCTGGGCTCCGTGCCCCTGGCTAGCTGCAGCCCTGAGTAGAGGTCAGCTCAGGGGCAGGGCAACGGTCATCATGGAAGTGACTCCACAAGAGATCATTTGCAAGTTTTAGGCAAGGTGCCCAGAGGTGACAATACCTGTGCCATCTCTCCCCCCCCCTTTGAAATGCTAACTAAGTAGCAAGCAGAGTTTCAAATAGTGAGGCTGAAGGGTAAAATCCCCTTTGATTTCCCTGCATGACCCTGACAAGTTTTCATTCGTCTGCAGTTTATCTCTGGAATTTGTCTAATTGGATGAATCCTGATGTCGTCACAGGGCAGAGCCTGGTGATGTCATACTTTCCCAATGAAACCAGCTGAGTTCCGGTCAAAGTTTATTCTGGCTCGTGAAACTTTTAAGTTGCGCATGCTTGATCCTGGAATGCTCATCGGCCGTGGGGGGGGGGGATCTCTTTTACTGCCCTAGGTTTCTGCATATCTGGGGAGTCCTCCCAAGTATATGGAGACCCTTAACCTTGTTTGTGAGCTACGGTGGCTCAAGTGGTTAAGACACTGAACTGCGGGCTGTGGAAGGTCGGTAGTTTAGCAGTTCGAGACCCGGGTGCCGCAAGACGGAGTGAGCTCCCGTCTCTAGTTCCAGCTCCTGCCAACCTAGCAGTTCGAAAGCAAGAAATTGCAAGTAGATAAATAGGTACCACTTCGGTGGGAAGGTAACAGCGTTCCGTGCGCCTTGGTGTTTAGTCATGCCGGCCACATGACCACGGAAACGTCTTCGGACAGCGCTGGCTCTTCGGCTTTGAAACAGAGATGAGCACCGCAACCCTAGAGTCGGATTCGACTGGCTTTCGAGCAAGGGAACCTTTACCTTTACCTTTAACCTTGTTTGTGTGCAGCCTGGTTTTGCTGCTTTTATGATAGGCTGCCATGGTTTCGAAGATGAAAGAGATAATGGCATAGATCAGCATGAAGGTGGCAATCGTCCTTGTCTCCCGAAGAGAGTAACTGCACATTAGAAGCAAATGTGTGTTAAGAAATCCACGGGTTTTCTTTTTACAGCAAGAATCTGGTTTGAGAGAAAGGAATGGGAACACACTGGCAGCGGGTGGGGCTGCATAACCTTTTCCTACTCTCCGTTCTTGCCCTCGGTCAGCTTCCTCCCATGTGGCATTTCAGAGATACATTTGCAAGAAAAAGCAGATGGCTTGAACCAGTGCAAGAGGGGGGACCACTTAGGGCGGGATGATTTGGAGTGGAGAAACAAGTGAGCATCTTCCCCTCAGTACCTCTCCTGGTGTTGGGAGTTTTACTTACATACTTTTGTTCTATTACAACCGTAACAGTAATTAGTCTCTAAATAAGGAACATTTATGGAGCTGCGGTGGCTCAAGTGGTTAAGACGCTGAACTGCAGGCTGTGGAAGGTCGGTAGTTCAGCAGTTCAAGCCCCGAGTGTGCCGCATGACGGAGTGAGCTCCCGTCTCTAGTTCCAGCTCCTGCCAACCTAGCAGTTCGAAAGCAAGACATTGCAAGTAGATAAATAGGTACCACTTCAGTGGGAAGGTAACAGCATTCCGTGCCCCTTGGTGTTTAGTCATGCCGGCCACATGACCACGGAAACGTCTTCGGACAGCGCTGGCTCTTCGGCTTTGAAACGGAGATGAGCACCGCAACCCTAGAGTCGGATTCGACTGACAATCGAGCAAGGGAAGCTTTACCTTTACCTTAAGAACATTTAACATTGGAGCTAGGCACCACTGAATCTTAGGTAACATAAACTTAGCTGAACTTAAGACTTACTGGTAAAGATCTGAATCCGCTAACATTTTCCAATGGCTGCCTAAAGTTATAAATCGGTATCAGTCATCATGGAGTTACACATTTAATGTAATGATACATAGTCTAAAAAATTGTTTAAAAAATTGTAGGTCCACAAGAAGTACTTCCGACTTCATTGGATTAGGTGGTGGTAGGTACCAAGAAGCAAAAACATGGAGCTTTTCCATTTGAAAATATAACTCTGAGCAGCTTCTCAAAGCCCTCCGTAGGCCAACTGGGTTGTCGACCTCCAGGTGGGTAGTACAAAAACGGGGTCAGAGTGTTAGGAAGATATGGGAAAATATATGAAATTCTGTGTAACAGATATATGCTTAAGGTAGATCTATTTTGTGCTTTTTATTTTTATTTTTTTTAAAGTCTATACTATTATATAAATATTGGTGTCAACTATTATCAAACAGAGGTTTCATCAAAACAATACATCAAAGTGTGGGTTTATACTATGTTCAAACAGCAGCTTGTCAGTTTCACAATCACTACTCTAGTAACTTACCCATATCGAATACAATCTTTTTCAAGGACAGTGATGTACATACAGGACATAAGGTGTAATAGATTCTGTTTGTGAGTATAAAACTCTTAAAACAGCAAATAGCAGCATATTTTCTAGGGTCCCATTAGAACCCTTGCGGCAAAGCTGATAGAAGTTACTTCTCTAGGAGAACACATCTCCCAAGTTCTATCAGGCTGCCTTATGCACCTTATGTCCTGTGCGTACATCACTGTCCTTGAAAAAGGCTATTCGATAGAGGTAAATTACTAGAGTCCTGTGGGACTAGTGATTGTGAAACTTATCAGTTCCCCTGTAGAAAATGGCTACTTTGAAGAGTGGACTGTGTGGCATTATACCCCGCTGGGGACCCTCCCCAAAATCCACCCACAAATCTCTAGGAATTTCTCAACCTGGAGTTAGCAATCCTTAATCCAGTCCAGGTCACATAAGTCCCCTGTAAGAAAAAATAAACAGAAAGTGTGTGTGTGGGGGGGGAACAGTCATTTTAGTAGCAAAGTTGGAGAATAATTTAGATATTGCTCTCAGTAGCAAGCAGTGTTCCCTCTAAGCTGAGTTAGTGTGAGCCAGCTCACAGTTTTTTAGCCTCCGGCTCACCCATTTTTGTCTCAGCTCAGGAAGGATGGGGCTCCAGAGCAGA